TTTCAAAGGAGGCCTACTGTTTCACCTAATGTGCTCCAGGAAAGGCACAAAGCTACACAGAGAAACCCTGTCTCGAAAAACCAAAAAAAAAAAAAAAAAAAAGTTGCTAGTGTCGTTATCGAGTCTGTTCTGTGGTCTCAATCAGATAGTTCATTTATTCTGTGGCTCCTTTCCTTCATTAAAACCTTTCTGTTCCAGTGTATCCATTACTGAAATTATCATCTCTATCTCTTCTGGCTCCAACATTGTGGGCAGCATTCCATTTCTCCCTCTTCAGTCTCTATCCTTCATCACAACCTTGAAGACACGATCCACAGGAAAGCCACACAAGGCTTTCTCCAGATGGCCCTCTCTCCCCACTGCTGTCATTTTCTACTATGAATTGATTGCTTTCATTTCTGTGGATCAGGACAAGGTGGTTGAGTTCTACATAGTGATGATCCCCATGTTGAATCACCCCATCTACAGCCCAAAGAACAAAGAGGTAAAGGAGGTTTTAAGAGAGGCAACTGTTATAATACATTCATAGGCTATGTTCTTTGAATTGAAGATAACCTTTAAAGTTTTCATATACTAGTATCATCCTTTTGACCTGCCGATTGATATGTATGTGGTTCTTTAAATTAAGAACATTCTTTGTTGTAATTCTCACTTTTTTTTTGAGATGAGATTTCTCTGCTTAACCCCAGCTGTCCTTGAACTTGCTCTGTAGACCAGGCTGGCCTAGAACTCACTGAGATCCACCTGCCTCTGCCTCCTGAGTGCTGAGATTGAAGGTGTATGTCACCCCCACAAAGTAATTTTCAGTTTCAAATGTATGTAATCTATCTATTTGGGAGGCAATGAGATCTATCCATTCATCAATCTCTTCTCTCTCTCTCTCTCTCTCTCTCTCTCTCTCTCTCTCTCTCTCTCTCTCTCTCTCTTTCTCCACCATCTATGTATATATGTATGCATGTATCTATCATCTAACTAAAATTTATACATCTATGTATCTTTGTACCTATCATCTATCATCTATGTACCTATGTATTTTTGTATCTATCATCTATTTATCTATTTATTTTCTACCTATAATCTATGTGTCTATCTATGCATCTTTGTCTGTCTGTCCTTCTGTATGTATGTACGTACGTACCTATCTATCGATCTGAACTAGTTGTAATTACTGTTATTGACCTTCTTCAGATGCCATCCACTCTGTATTTATTTAGTTTACTTAGCAACAATAATCTGTACTTAACAATGTATCAGAAATCATTCTCAGCATGTTACTTTCATTAGTTCATCCATTCTTTAAAACAACCCAATGAGTAGGTCCTATTAGTTTTAATTTAAAAATAAATAACCTGAGGCCCCACATAAGTAAGTAGCTAACCCACAAAGATTCTGTTTAGAAGATAAGGGACCGTTATTTGAATCCAGAGAATTTAGTTTCCCCAAATACCTTGTTTTAACACTTAAATTTTCACAGCAGTTGTATGATGTCGAAAATTATGAATTCCCTTAATATTAGGAAGTTCCAATGGATTGTTTGACATAGATATGATCTCAACTCTGTTTTAGGCTCCTTGCACATAGTCTATACCATAGAATACATTGACATGGAGAACTCTTATGCTTACTTAGAAATAAAAAGGATTGCTAGAAAGAACTTTGTAACAGAGCCCCCTAGTGGTGAGATGTTCTTAAGGCGCTCAGCTCAGGAGATGAGGAAGGAGTTTGGAAAAAAGACAGATGGGGCACAAAAGAGGAAAAGAATCAGTAGCTGGGGCTATAAGGGGCAACAGAAGTAACAAGGAATGGAAGATACAGGACAAAAAGAATCTCAAAACAACGTTTTGTTAGAAAATATCACAATGGTATCTAGTAATTCTATTCTGATGTTAAAAATTTAAAACTTGACTATCTTAACATGATATATTAAACATTTTGTCTAATTTCAAAAGAAGGATTCACAGTTTCAAAGTTGTGTTTGTAATCCTGATATTTGCTGTGTGTGCCTCAGTTACAGCCACTGTCAAATGTGGCTTAGAACCCAGTGGCACCAACAGTTCAAATAAGACGAAGCTTTCATTCATCTACCCATTAATTTATTAGGTATTTTATTTCACTCGTATCAAACTTGCATTTAAGTTTACCATGTTCTATGATCCAAGTAACAATTAGACATTGGGGCACCACTTTAGCTCTCTATAAGAAGCTTCCAATATCCACAGGTGAAAATCAAACCCTAACTTTATAATTACCAGTGGAGTAGAAAACAAATACACAGTGTCCTGTGGGGTATAGTGGTGATCTTAGGTTTTGAGATCCAGTAAGGCTCTTTAGAAGTGGCTTAACAAAGCGTGTATTGGTGTCTGCAACATTAAATAGGTGCTGCACCAGTGAAGGGAAGAGGCCATTGCAAGCAGGGCTGTGTGAGAGTCTTGAGGAAGAAGACTGTGGGCATGCTCAAAATTTTGAAAGAAAAGGAAATAGCACAAGAGAGAGAAGGGGGAAAGGCCATGTCTAAGGTCTTTAAAATATTTTATTTATATTTTGAAAATAATATTAACAAGGTAACAGGTTTTCATACATATTTCATGTTGGTTATTTCTCTGTCCTCCTGTATCTCCTTGGCTCCTCCTACCCCACTGTATCCTTTGGGCCACAATTTCTTCTTTCCAGTTTGTTCTTCACCATCCCATTCTCTTAAAACCTCATTTACCCCAAGTCTCATGGGCCCTTTCCAAGTTAGAGGCTAGAATCTTTTGGAGTTTTGGTGAAGAAAATAATTTATTTGGATATATGACTGTGGCAGTTATATGCAGCATGATTTGGAAGATGGAAAGATAGGAAAATTCATTAAAAATTGTATTCATTAAGCTTCCCCCAGGACAACTGTTTATGTATATATGCACAAAAATACATTGACATTAACATTTACATACTTATATACATATTTACTAAATGTTCATATATTTATTCCAATATATATTACATATTTTATATGCATGATTTCATTTTAATTATACATGTAAAGGTGCTATATATATAATTTTTTTCTCAAATTATATATGCATGTACAAAGTCTGTTAAGTAGGCAAACAGCTTGAAAATACTGGCAAGAATTGAAACAGCAGCCTAGAGGTCTAGAGCTTCAAGGGTTTTCCTCTTTGGAGGACCTCAGGCTTTCTCTCAAGGCCTTTAACTGATTAGACAAGAACCATCTATATTAGGAATTTTCTTTTGGCAACTGTTAGTCGAAATGTCCAGCATGTCTTTAAAAAATAGCATCAAAGGTGCATTTGGACTAGTGTCTGACCAAGCACCTGGGCACCACACCCTTATCAAGTTGACAGCTAAAGTTAACCATTTCACTGGAACTATTTGTGATAAACTGCCTCAACCTGTGCAGCTGGAGCACCAAACCTGGCGAGGGCCGCCGAGGTTAAACAGCACTCTAGACACCCAGTTTCAGTTCGTCAGGGAAGCAGCTCTCTTTATTCATACCAACATGGGCTTATATACTCCTCTAACAGCAGGAGTCAAGGAATGGTTACTCTGTATCCAGAGGCAAGCCGGACACTGTTTTCCAAACAGGAAAAACCACAGGGGAACTGATCCCCAGCACCCTCTGGAACCCAACTGCACATTTTTCACACAAACAACTTAACTGGGACAGGACAAAAAAGGGCATTTAAGATTAAGGCAGCAAACTTACTGCTGCCGACAATAAACTAACTGTGAAAGAGGTCAGCCTGAAGCAGAGGCATTGACAATGAAGACAGAGAGAAGTAAATAAATCTTGGCCTGCAAACATGCAAAATTTTATAACCAAATGTAGGAGTGCAGAGAAGGAAGATAAATAAATTATTCTCATGCTTCTAATCCATAAAAGGATTGAATCACAGAGTCCCTTACTGGAAGTGAAAGGGAGGATGGAGAATGATAAATAAAGTGGTGATCATCGATGAACCCAGATAAGACTCTCAGGAGGAGTTGGGGATATGGCTGAGTGATATAGACCTTGGTAACCAAGTACCAGGCACTGGGCTTCATTCCCAGCACTACAAAGGAAAATGAAAGATTTTTCAGGAGAGTGGGTTAATCAGGGATCTTTCATCCTTTTCTTCCGTGAGAAGCCTGCTTCTTATCCCAGTCCAGAGAGCAGGGATCAAGACCAGAATGTTATGAGTCCACAAACCCATTCCCAGCAGTCACTTGTATTCCAGGAAGAACAACTCCAAGGATGCAGGAAAAACACTTATAAAATAAATCTAAAAACAACTCCAGGAATTTTGTCATTTTCTCTCAAAATGTATACCCAGAAATTACTATTCTTACCATGCACATTGCAGAATGAGCTACTGTTGAAATGCAGTCACCCTTAATCATTTGAATCATTTGCATGTTCCATGATTGTAATTTATAGCAGATAACTATTTTTATAAACAAATGACTGAAAGTGAAAAATATTTTCACGAAGTTACTTTTTATAAAAATAATTACTTTGTTAATTATGAGTGTATTTAAATTTATTGAGTGTAACACTATAAAATATGGTTTATTACTTAATATCTGAACATCTACACTCTTCAGTTACTAAAAAGCTTCCAAGTGGCTAATTATATGTATCAGAACATATATTTCAGCCACAGGCATTTAGTTTTTTTCATTATTTTTATCTGTAGGATGTTGTTACTATATTAAATTGTACAATATAACAGACATCACTTAAGAGAATATTTTCCTGTTAATTTCTTTCTTCAGAGCACCCTTAATCTCATTATTCCTGAGGCTGTAGATGAGGGGATTCAACATGGGGATCACCACCATGTAGAACACAGACACCACCTTGTTCTGGTCTGTGGAGTAGCTGGACTTGGGCATCGCATAGATGAATGTGATGGTGCCATAGAAGAGAGTGACTGCAGTGAGGTGGGAGGTGCAGGTGGAGAAGGCCTTGTGGCGGCCCTCAGTGGAGCGCATCTTCAGGATGGTGATGAGGATGTAAGTGTAGGAGACAGCTATGACAAGCACTGTGACGATAATGACAAAGGCAGAACAGAATGAGGCAGGAACTATGGGGACACTGCCACTAGAACAGGAGAGCTCTACCAAAGGAGCCAAATCACAGAAAAAGTGATTGACTCTATTTGGTCCACAGAAGAGAAGAGAAAAGAAGGAAATAATAAAGGAGGAAGCATTAAGTAAACTACCTATATAAGATCCTACAAGCAACTGGACATAGACTCGTGTGGACATTTTGGTTGAATAAAGCAGTGGGTTACAGATTGCTACAAAGCGATCATACGCCATGGTGGCCAGAAGGAAGCATTCAAGTGTCCCAAAGAAAGCACCTGAGCCAAGCTGAATGGTACACCCAAGGAAGGAGATGGTATTTCTCTTTACCAGGAAGTTGACCAGCATATTGGGGGTGACAGAAGATGAGTACCCTATGTCAGTAGAAGCCAAGTGACTGAGAAAAAAGTACATGGGGTGATGGAGCTGGGAAGAGACTCTGATGAGGAGGATGGTGCTGAGGTTCCCACACACAGTCACCAGGTAGATGCACAGGATGATGATGAAGAGGACGACTCTGAGGACTGGGTCATCTGTTAAGCCCAATAAAATGAACTCTGTCACTTCAGTGTGGTTCCCATCCTCCAGGAAAGCCATGGGTCAATGTAGCTGCTGCCAGAACCAGGCTGTGATGGAGACATTACAGGAAAGGATTTATAAATATGTAGCATCATTTTCATTAACTCATATATGGATGCTAGTATAAACAAATATGTCATTTAAGAAAACATTTCAAGAAAACTCATTGAAGAAAAACTTAAACTAATTTTTATTTAACTGTTATTTTACTCCACACTTTTAGAATTTATATATTCATTTGCAATGAATCTTCCTATATTTCAAAAATTGTTTTTAACAGCAACATCAGATAATTTGTTTCAAGTGGGCTCTGTAGATACAGCTTTGTAGGAAAATATTCCCTTAAGTGGTATTTATATGAAATATATAATATTGTATATAATTAAATGTTATTAAATGTGCTCAAAGAGCTTTAAAGACAAGGTTTTAAAAAGGAATCATAAGTATAACAAAAATAATTACAGTATCTAAATCTAGGTGATAAAGATTAGAGGAAGCAGTCATGCTTCCTGAAGGCTTACTAAATTACCAGCCTAGAAGTTAAAATTCATATGTAGATATATTTTAATTTTCAGGGGGTAATATTAAGTACTTTTGTTGTTTCTATCCTACAGACAAGAAAACTGAGGTTGAAAATATTAAGCTACTTACATCAATTTATACAGGAAGCAGATTGCGATCGGGAATCAGACGCAGGCAAGCTGAACTCATTTCATTCACTCTGTAATTGTATTGTAAATGAAATCAAGTAAATACCAGTCAAGTAAATACCAGTCACAATATTGCTGAGAAAAATGGGAGTACCTGGTTGACTCCCCAGCTTTCTGATGCAACAGCACAGGGGGCCTCCTTTGCTGCCTAGTTCACAATGCTTATTGGTTAAGCAAGACTATGTCCTAGGACAAATATTAAACTGAGAAGTCAGATATCTTTCATAGAACAAGGAAGATATAGAGAGGATTTCAAAGTTACAAATGAAGTCACTATTTAAAATTTAAAAAATACTTCAATATTTCCAATTCAGCCATAGCTTTCTGAAATCATCTTAAATATCACATGACTAATAATCAAATACAACTATTAAGCTTTATTCAAGCATGCCAAACTATTTCCTACTGTAACAATGTTTTAATTGAAGTATGATGGAATTAAATATGATTTTTAACATAGTATGCAGATGATAAAACTTCCAGCCTGTAAAGTTAAGACGTGGCTCTGGAGAGAGGGCTCAGTGGTTCAGAGCACTGTTGTTTTTGCAGAGGACTTAGGGTTAGTTCCTACACCCAGATTGGATATCTCACTGCCTGTAACTCTAGTTCTAGAAGTTCCAGGTCCCTCCTTTGACCACCTTGGGCACCAGGCACTCATATGGTTGCACATACATACACACAGGCACTCACATAAATACATAAAATAAAAACAAATCTTTTAATATGTCAAGAAGCATACTCAGGTTCATTCATCTAGAGTCCAAATTGAATCTCATCCCTGCTACTCCACCCTCACCCCACCACAATTTGGCTTTATTTTCTTTTATTTTTCCCAAAGTGTTTGGTGTCTTGGATGCTAGAGCATCTGTGTAATCAATAAAGGAAGCAAGTTGTCCTAAAAGAAACTCCCTAAAGGTAAATTCCAAGTGCTTAAAAATTATTCACTATTTTAGGCTTATGGCAGAATGATACATTTACATAGTTAGAGACCATGTGGTTTCTGGTCTTAGGGGTCAAAAACTGGTCACACTGGTTTGTCCATGTGCACTCTACGATGGAAATTTAACTTACCCCAGTTGAAATTATTTTCTCCCTAACTGCTTGTTATTATCTGCATTATTGCTAAAGGAAGGCTTTTAGATACAGATACTTTTTGAAGGAATAGTTCTCTTCAGTGGTAAACAAAAGCTCAAATCTTACCTCTTGAAAAAAGAATTCATTCATCTTACAGTTATTATTATATGGTAGCCATGCCATCTTTTATAATGCTTGACTGAAGATAGGTCTCTAAAGATGCCAGAAATTCAAAAGTAAATTCAAATCCAACAGGGAACATGACCACAGCCTCAAGTGAATATTGAGTAGTTCAATTCATATGAACACATCTAGTTTTCAAGGATTCTGTACATCCAGAAATGTCTATTATAAAGCAAGCAATGGCACACTTTTAGTTAATGATTATAGTGAGTAAAATACAACATGTTGTCCCATTCCTAAATATTGCTCCTAAGTTTACTTTGCTATTTCAAGTTAGCCCACCAGGCTCTGATGACTGGTTAGTTCCAAACTCAGTGTCACACAGATAGCTCTATGAGAACATTTTTTCCCTGTAAAAATGGGAAAGGGATTTGTAAGGAAGAATGAAGGCTGGCCAGGATTGGAGGGAAAATAAATTATGTTGAAGGAAGAGTAACCATAGTTCATTATATATATGTTTGAAATCGTCAAAGAATGAAATTTATTAATTAAAAAAAATACAAAATTGAAAATATAAATAGGTAACATTACATCCAACACCTCTTCATTTTATGAGTAAATGTTTCATGGTAAAGAATGGGCATTCTTGCCGGGCGGTGGTGGCGCATGCCTTTAATCCCAGCACTCGGGAGGCAGAGGCAGGTGGATCTTTGTGAGTTCGAGGCCAGCCTGGGCTACCAAGTGAGTTCCAGGAAAGGCGCAAAGCTACACAGAAAAACCCTGTCTCGAAAAACCAAAAAAAAAAAAAAAAAAAAAAAAAAGAATGGGCATTCTATTATTATTATTATTATTATTGTTTTAGAAATATAGGGAGGAAATAACATGACTATTTAAAATACACACATACTTTTTATGGCCAAAGGTAGAAAATAGGTTCCTTCAATTTATATTAAATATTGAAAATGAGCTAATGAATAAAATATTTTTCATGAATTTTAGATTTCAGTGAAAAAAAAAAAAGAGTGAGAATAAACCAACTTTATAAACACAGAACATGCCAGGGTGAAGAGATGGCTCAGCAGTTTAGACACTTGCTCCTCTTGCAGAGGAATGAAATTCACTTGCAGCATCCACTTCAGGTAGTTCCCAGCTGCCTTTAACTACAGCGTCAGGTGATTCTATGCCCCCTTCTGGCCTCTGTGGGAACGCATACATACATACATATTGGCTTCGGATTTCTATTGCTGTGATGAAATGTTATGACCAAAAAGCAAGTTGGGGAGGAAAGGGTTTATTGGGTTATTGGATTTCCACACTTCCACATTGTAGTTGATCGCTGAAGGAAGTCAGGACAGGAGCTCAAACAGGGCAGGAACTTGGAGGCAGAAGCTGATGTAGGGGCCACAGAGGAGTGCTGCTTACTGGCTCCCTCCTCATATTTTGTTCAGTCTGCTTTCTTATAGAACCTAGGACCACCAGCCCAAGGTTGGCACCACACACAATGGTCTGGTCCCTCCCCCATCAATCACTAATTAAGGAAATGCTCTACTGGCTTTCCTAAAGCCTGATCTTCTGGAGTCATTTTCTCAATTGAGGTTCCTTTCTCTCATATGACTTTAGCTTGTGTCAAGTTGACATAAATCTAGCCAGCACACATGTATATACACACACAAACACTAACACAAACACATACACATATATAAATAAAAATGATAAAAATTAACATGGTAAGCATGATATGGAAGAAACAAACCAATGGATTCACAGGATGGCTGGAAGGTAGCTGCAGTGCTAGTTTAAGCTGCCTAATGAAAAAATTCAAATACATCAGCTGATATTTGAGGGAGAATGGCAAAGGATCCAGTGATGCAAGCAGGGGAGAAAAGGCTGACAGACACAAACAACAAATGCAAAGATCCCAGGAACTTCAAGAAATTAAAAAAATGAGGCCATGGTAAGCCATGCAAAGATTCATAGGCGATGAACAAATGTTTACATTTCATTCTTTAATGGGAATGGAAAGGTTTGGAAATATTATCCAGTCGTGCAAGATGTTATCATTCATATATATGTGTTATACATGAATGCAAACTGCCTTAGTTTATGCTTGTCTTGAAATGTCCTTATTCATCAACCAATACTTAAAGAAAGCTTTCCTGGATAGAGTAACCATGATTGACAGTTACTTTGTTTCAGGGCTTGCAATATGTTTTCCTGACTTCCAGGGTTACTGATGAAGGCTTTGATGCTATTCTGATGTGTTTGCCTTTGTGCTTGAATTAATGCCTTTTCCTTACAGCTTTTGACATATTTTTTTCCTGTGTGTTTTTGACATCTTTACTGTAGTACATTGTGGAGAATTTCTGGTTTATTCGTGGCTATTTCAAGTTCTAAATCCCTCTTGAATTTAGATGGCAATTGCTCTGTCTAGATTCTGCAGGAATTTTCTCTTCTTGTTTTATTGAATTGATTCTCTGTGCTTTTATTCTTTATCTCAGCTCCTTCTTCTGCTCATGGATTCTTAGGTTCATTGTCTTGACTTCAGCTGTAGCTGTCATGGTTGTATTAATGTTTTCCTTATTGGTGTCTGAATATAGTGTTTTGTTGGCCTGCATTTCTGATACTCTTTTCTCTGTTTCATTGAGTTGATTTGTGATGCTTTCTAACAAGTTTTACCTTTGATTCACTGGTCTTTTTATTTTTAGCATTTCTATTACTTTTTTAAAATCTCAGTTTCTTTGCTGAAGTTTTCTGTCATGTTGGTAACTCTTTCATCTACACTGCTTATGTTCTTATGCATTTTTTCTAACTTTTTCTTCTGTTGCTGAGTTTTCTCTCTGGCTCTGGGGCTGAATTCATTTGCTTCTTTGCATACTCTTCTATCCAAGTCATTTATCATTTTTAACCAGTAAACCTTTAAAATTAAGTCTTCATTATTTCCTGTGTTTCAGATCTTCTAGTTTAGTAGTTGAGGAGATGGGGTCTCCTAGAGGAGTCATGATTCCTTGCTGATGCATGTCTCTAGAGTTCCAGCCTTACAATTTGTGCATCCTATGGTTTGGATATTTTTGAGAGGATCTTCTTACTGAGTAGCCTACTCTTAATGTCTTA